TGATACCATGCAAGTCCCCTAACATAACAGATGTGGCACGTAATAAATATTGCTTGATGCAGAAACCTGTTGAGATGAATTTTCTAGGTTCCAAGAAAAGTGGAACAATAAACTTGAAAACTTTAAATCTAGGAACTGAAGTAAATTTAATTTTTGAATTAATTTTTAATTTATGCTCTTTTGGGGATGGGCTAAGTTGAATTTACCTCTGTAGTATTTTTGCAAATCAAAGCAACAGTATAGAGATTTCAGAAAGGATGTTTATATCACTAAATAGAACAAAATTCTCAGATAAATAGAAACTCAAAAATACAACTGATGAACTAACTGAAATCAAGTTTATATTTTCATCTAAATACGTATCCTTACTCATTTCCACCAGGAAACATTTCACAGAATATGGGATAATAGAGCCAGAAGGGCCTTAAGACCATCTTGTCTAATTCCCTTGTATTACAGATGATGGAGCAAATCAGAGAGGCTGAATGACTTGCCCAAGATCACTCCGTCTGTTAGATACAGAATGGACTGGAATCCAGCAGAGTAACTGAGCACTTTTTTTTTTTCATAATTGAGATTTTATTGGTTGTTTTGAGGATCGGTCCACAGACATTTCAATTTGTACATAATTCTTAAAATCTGAAAAATCACGTAGTTGCGATTCTTTTCTAAACAGTTATTCCAGTGACTTCCCAGTTTAAAATTTGAAGGCAAATTTTCCTTAATAGGATATCAAGTACCAATATCTTCAAATACTGTTAAGCTGTTACATCATAAATACCCCTAATTCACAATTTAATATCGTATACATTACATACTCAAATTTTCAATCTTTTGCAATACATTACCAAATTTATTAGGAAAACGGCACTACCAAGACCAAAGATGTTATGGAACGCACACAGTTCTGAAAGGGACAGCCAAGGTCAGGGGTAGTTTTCTTTAGGAAACAATTCTACCAGAAACAACATGGGAATGGAAGTAATTTAAAATGTCCAAGACATAGTAAATGTACACCGTGACTCCAAATTGCCATCTAGTATGCTTTGTATTATAAGATATAAAAACTAATCCCCATCTATGGAATGTTAAGCTGACACCCAAGACAATCAAAGCCACCTTATTCAATATCCCATTATTTTCTGGTTGTACTAAAAAATAAACAACCAGCAAATGATTCCACCTCTTTAAAAAAAAACCCTTTACACTTAAAAAAATGTGAGGATGTGGGATTCCCTCCTTAAAAATGTTTCTAGAGCTTCTAAAAAAACTTGCATTTACAAAATAGTTGATAAAAATATTCCTCTGGATCATGCAAGAAGGGAGACAGGCGCCACTGATAAGACATAGTAGATGATATTAATCAGACTTGGCTTTTTTTCTCCTGCTTCCTCAGAGGCTAGACTAGCCTCATTTTTAGTTTCTCCATTTTCTCCAGGTAAATCTTCTTTAGTTTCTTGCTTAGCCACTTTGGCCTGTTTTCTCTTTGCTCCCCTTTTTCTCTTTTGTGGGCAATTTTTTGTCTGAAGATATATCCTTTCCTGCTGTCTTTTTTGGCTTCATTCCCAGTTGTTCAGGAGCAGGCTTAGCTGACAACCTTGCTGATCTCCTCTTGGGCTCCACATTCACCACCCCCTCTGTGGAGTTGACCTTCCTCTTGGGCATCATGATGGCTGGGCAGGTGTGCACCAGGTGCCTGTGGGCTACTGCACACACCTTCCCAAAGCGGGATGCTGCCACTCCTCCCACCCTCAAGTACTTTTTTGATTATATAGCTTGGCCTACCTCTAACACAATATTTGTGATGGCTAACGGTATGTGTCAACTTGACTGGGCTGCAGGGTGCCCAGACATTTGGTCAGACATTATTCTGGGTATATCTGTGAGAGTGTTTTTGGATGAGATCAACATTTGGATAAATTGACTGAATAAAGCAGATTGCTCTCTCCAATGTGGGTGGGCCACACCCAATCAGTTGAAGCCCTGAAAAGAACAGAAGGGCTGACCCTACCACTAGTAAGAGAGAACTCCTCCTCCCTGACTAGGTGGGACATCAGTTTCTTCCTTTCTTTGGACTCAAACCAAAACACTCGCTTTCTTGGGTCTCCAGCCTGCCAGCTTTCAGACTGGAACTTACACCATCAGCAATCCTGGGTCTCCTGCCTGCCAACTGCAGATTTTGGGACTTCTCAGCCCCCACAATCACATGAGCTAAATCCTTACACTCAATCAATCAATCAGTCAATCTCTCTCTCTCTCTCTCCCCCCCCGCCACACACACACACCCTGCTGGTTCTCTTTCTCTGGGCAATCCTATCTCAAATAAACTTTGAACTCAAAGGAATAAAGAAAACGGTCTTAACGGATATGATAGACACTGTAGATCAGCTACCGAAAAGCTATCCACAGCTTTCTTCTCCCTTGTCTTCTTCTAGTGAAAAGCTAAAATTCTGTTTCCTTGCCTCTTTTACACCTACAGTAGTATGTGACATAGCTCTGACCCATAAGATGTAGGTGGAAATCCGTAGGAGGATTTCCCTTTGTTCTTTGCATTTTATTACCCCCCCTTTTTTTTTTTTTTTCTGTCTAGAGCATGGATGCACTGACTAGGGCTTGTGGGCAGCAGTCATCCTGGCACCATGAAGACAAAAGCATATGCTAGGGCTAGCTAAGGAGGAACACAGGAGGATTCTGGGTCTGTGATGAGACCTATGAGTAGCTGCTCCCATGTTGGACTGCTTCTCTAGAATTCTTGAGAAAAACACATCACACCTACTAAAGCCAGTTTTAGTCAGGTTATCTTGTTATTTGTAGCCAAACTCTTTCCTAATATACTATTTTAGCCCAGATTTCAACTGTAACAATAAGCCAAAAGTGCACATGACCCCAGCTTTAATAAAACAATCACTTACTCAAAGAAAAAAAAATTGAGGGTCTGCCATATAGATGGCATGTAAGAGGCACTAAATCTAAAAACCTTCCCATTCTCAACCAAGGATGCTGGTGGGAAGTGAGCTTGCTCCCTGCCATTCCAGGTTGTAATCTGAGGAGGAATCCCAGGGGATCCCCTATGATGCCTGGGATGTTTGTGAACCGCAAAACGGGAACACTAAAGTGGACTGAATCTTGCGGAGCTGTTAGCAATGGGTCCAACTTTTCCCATTCAATTCACTTCTTTCTAAAAGCTCTTTTTAATGAAAAACTAATCATGATCATTGACTCCTGCATCTTTAGAATGAGCTCAGGGTCCTTTCGCATGCAGTAAAAGCAGCTACCTCTCTCCATCGATGTCAGTGTCAGAAGTCACAGGTAGCTGTGGTACAGGGGAGGGAGCATTAGCTTCATCAAAAGATCTGTGTTTGAGACTTGGTGCTGCCACTTTTCCTTCATCCCCTCCCAGAGGCATATTTCTGAACCTTTCTGAGTTCTGTTTCTTAATTTATGAGTATTAAGTTCAAACGAGATAATGATTACAAAAGAATTCCAACAAATGTAAAACACTCTACAAAAGTTAAGATTTCATTAGATAACCTGATTGTGTGCAAACTAAGAGTAAATAGGTTCAATGTGAGGAAAGGATAAGATTCATATGAGAAAAGTTTATTCATTATCTTTATGGCATTTATTTTGGCTCTTCATTTGCCAGAGAGCAAAAGTTGCTAGATAAGTGGTCACCACCTGATAAAGCAGTGCAGCAGAAAGGCTTACAGAAGAAACTTGAAAGAAATAAAAAACTAGACAAAACTTGAGATGTTTACTACTGAGCAATAGCTGTTACCAATCATAACATAATTAACCCTCTTGCCGCAGGCTCTAATAGCACTCTGGCCTTCAGTGTCTTTTTTTTTTTTTTTTTTTTTTTTTTTTTCTCCTTAGGTAGGTTTAGTCCTAGGTATTTTATTCTTTTTGTTGCAGTGGTAAATGG